GGTCTTTCCTTTTGGTCGTATTGTTTGCAAACATTTGTGTCAAAGATCTGCCGATAATCTCTTCGTTTTGATAGATATAAGCGGTGTCTATATGTCTATAACCGACATCTATGGCATCGGTCAGCACTCGACTCATAACCGACTGATCGTCAGTCATATCATAGGTTCCCAAACCAATGATCGGAATCGACATTCCGTTCACGAATTCAACCGATGGGGTCATCGCTTTTGGTCATAACGTTATGTCAATTGTTGTCAGAATTAATTAAACATTTATTTAGTTTTAGTTTATATTACATAATATAAAAAGTTTATTATTAAAACTAAACATGGACAATTATTGCAATCCAAAAACTAAACTTACCCGCATAACTATAGACCAGATGAAAAACAAACGTTGTTAAAACAAACGCAAACATGATTATTTAATACGATTTTTTATAATTTTATAATAAGTTTGTAATTAAAACCAAACAACAAATAATTTTCTTATGAAAAAATATCATTTGAATTTACGAAACACAAAATCGCATCGATTTATAAGTAATAGTTGTATGCAATTGAGGTGAAGGTTGTTTTCAATATCTGCAGCAAAACCAATGCCCCGACAAAACTCATGCACTTTTTTCTGCTCTTTTCTCGTGTTTGTCTCAATTTATAATTCATTTATTTATTATAATTTATCAAAAATTAATAATTATTTTTCACTTAAATATATTGAGTTAAATAATACACAACCGATTTGAAGGACAATTAAATATATTTTTATGAAAAATTTATTTAACATTTTTCTAAATTATTTTTCATTTTCCAAACTTTTTTCACCGAAGGCTAATCAATAGGAAAACTGATTATTATTTATTAATTATTGAATGCATTGATATTTGAGCTCAAATAAGTTGCAAATATAAGGAAAAGATTGAAAGTTTAATGTAATTATATTCTAATGAATATCAATATTAGGCCATTGAGAGGATGTGTTCATCATTTTTATCATATAATTGTTTATCATTTGTCCAAAACTTAAAGTTTGAATAATTCACTCTTTCTGTATATAAAAAATATTTAATTGTTAAATACTTTATTCCACTTCCCGTGCATTCACTTCTAGTTAAATACAATAATCATTATACTGTATATTTACAACTTTTTGCACAACATTTTTAATAAATAATTTGTAACATTTTTTATACAAAGTTAAGCAATATCATTTTATATCGTAATATTAACTTTATTATATTTGAAAATACTATTCAAACTTTAAACGAAAAATTCAATATTAATTTACATATTATATAAATTACAAGCTCTTAATCATTGAATACTTTCAATATTAAATATAATGTTAAAAATCAATTAAGAAGGGATACTCACGATTGTTGACCGCTTCAGACAGTGTTAT